GATTAAGTTATTGTTAATTGTTATTGGTTTAATGTAAGTGGCTATTGTTCGGGACGAACAATACTAAGGAGGGGCAGTGTTGCGTCAGCGAGGTCACGTGACTAGTATCACACCACGTCCTTCTCGAACCTTAATGGATTATCGGGAGACTACTTGATTGGGGATAGTCTGGTATATATAAGACCGTCCACGAAGCGACGGAGGGGAAATGAGTAATCGAATGTATGCGGACAAAATATTGTTGGCCACGTGAGACGTGAGTTATAGCATTGTTATAGAGCGACTGTTGAAATTAAGTGTATCGTAAAGTTGTATTCGGAAAGAATAAACCAGTTTTATTTAAGAAAGGACTTGTGTCGCTAAAGTTTCGTCGGAACGAATTTACGGAAAATTAATTAACAAACGGAGACGTAACAATACGATTTAAAAAGTGTTCATTTACAAGGAGTAGCTGCCAGTGTTGATACAGAAGCAGCCACAAATTGTGTAAAAAACTGAAGAAATAATAGCACAAGGCCAATACTCATACAAACAAGTTTTTAATGTGGAAGAGACAGGCCTATTTTTATGAAAAAGGCCATTAAAGACTTTCATCACGAAAGAAGAAAAATCGTCTCTGGGGTTTAAACACCCGAAGGATCGGCCAAATCTGTTGTTAGGGGCAATGCTAATGGTGATGTGAAGCTGAATCCTTTGCTCCTATACCAATCCGAAAATTCTAGGGCCTTAAAAAGCATTTCAAAAGAAGTGTTACCTATTGTATGGTGAAGCAAAAAAGAAAAGCTTGGGTAACAATAGATGCTTTTTCAGACTGGTTAACACCACTTTTGTACCATTTGTGGAAAAATATAACCAAGAAAGTAATCTCGATAACAAAGCCCTATTTGTGTTGGGCAACGCCCCTGGCCACCAAGTCAACCTAAATGAACTTTGCCCCCATATTAAAGTCATATTTTTGCTGCCGAATACAACTTCCACCTTACAACCTATGGAACAGGGTGTGGTATCTGTTTTTAAAGCCTATTACCTAAGAAAAACAATGGAACAATTAGCATGTGCCACCGGAGGAGAAGAAGGAAACATCAGGACATATCTAACTGAGATATATATATCATTATTTGTTTTCTATTTGTTACGGGGAAATTCTAGATCATTACGCCATCATCATGATTACCTCCCTTTAGCAAAAAAGTATTTAAATTAAACCGAAAATATAGCCTATAATATTAGCGTATAATGAGGATTTAAGAGGAACCTAAATCTTCTAAGCTGGCCAAGACTTGTAAGATATTATTGGGATTACGGCCGAAAATATCACTAACAGCAAGGATATGCCAACTGATATGCATCCTAATTGTTATAAGTAAGAACAGTACATGAACTTAATTATATTCATACTACATAATATCTGGTTCAGTTGTAGTTCTGATCTATGTAGATATCAGAAAGGAATGATAAGTGCATAAGGCAATATTCATGCTGAAAATATCATTATCTTACCGACCCAGTGAGAAAAACACTATGAAAATAATGAATAGATAAATTTTGCTTAAAGCTTTGGGTAAAAAAAAAATATTTTTCACAGTGTTAAGGGCCCGGCATGGCCAGGTGGATAAGGCACTCGACTCACAATCTGAGGGTCGCGGGTTCGAATCCGCATCCCACCAAACATGCTCGCTCTTTCAGCCGTGGGGG